TATTTGCACACTCCTCTAACCAACCAAGTCTGGAAAAAACGTGGGGTGGCCCCCACCCATGTGGGAGGTCATCCCTTTATGTTCCCACGTGTACAATCGGTCCCGAAAGTTGTATTTTCCGGACTGTTTTAAGTATATTTTATTTTATCGGGTCAAATAAAATATAATACTTGTTCCCAATCCTTATTGGACCTTAGAATCAATATGCATTCCTCAACTTTAATTTAGAAGTCTCCAAAATCCCTTTTCGGGCTATTATCTAATAAATTGCCGATACTGATAATTTGGCCCCGTTTGACCAAACGGTCAACCCTATGCCATTGCCATGGCTCAATTAGGATATCCACCACCATATACATATTATCTAGTCCAAGATCAATATAATATGTGGCCCCGATAATATCGGGCGGCCCCCACCTCTGGTGTGGGCCCCACGTGAATTTTTTTATTCACGTAAAAGAAACGATAAAAATTTACAATCACGTAAAAACGCTTTTATACATATCTCAGGGTTCAATACATGATTTGGTACAGTACAAATACTCGGGGGCGGTGTTACATGTACCTTGGACAATTATACCCTTATAGCTATTAAAATGTTTTAATTCCTAATAAAATAATAAAAAATAATAAAAATTCGTAAAAAATACTAAAAAATTAAGAAAAATATTTCGATATTAAAAATTTAATTAATTTTTTTTTCAAAAAATTAAAAAAATAAAAAAAATAAATAAAAACTCAAAAAAAAATCGCCGCCGCCTCTGCCGCCTCAGCACCACCACCTCCAGCCACCAGGGGGAAAAAATGCCAAGTTCATTACGAATGCCATATTTATGGCAGAAAAAATGAAAATGTTGGCATTCGAAAAGAGAAATATGCCACTTTTTTGGCATTTTCAGAAAAAAATGGCATTTTTCTGGGAAAATGACATTTTTTTCATCGGCCGGAGGTGGTGTTGCTGGGAGGTAGTACAGGCGGTGGGAAAGGCATCCATATTTTTTTAAATTTTTTTTACGGAGTTTTACTATTTTTTATTAATTTTTTTTAAAAAAAAAAAATTTAAAAAACAGTTTTTGAATTTTTTATTTTATAAAAATTTTATTAATTTTTTAATTATATTTCTACGAATTTTTGAATTTTTTTCGAATTTATTATGAATTAAACATTTAATTATGGCTTTTGACTATTTTTAATTCATATTTAATGGAAGGGTAAGAATGGAATGCAAAAATAGGTATGTTTCCAATAGGACTCATATGGTCCTGTTTTGGAATAAAAACATAGCAAGTCCTATTTTAGGTTTTTGCCATAGTTTTAGTCCTATTTGAACTAATTTCTATAGAACTAATTAGTAAGTCCTATTTGGGGAATAAAACATACTTTTAAGTCTTATTTTTAAACTTTGTGTATGTTTTAATTCTATATTGATGGATCAATATCTATTTCTTAGAGGAAATTTTCTAAATAGTACTAAAACAAAGATTAAGTTTAAATATGTCTCTCTTGGTTATATTCCCATAAAAGAACTCATTCGCCCCTATATTAATTAACTTACTTTTTTTTAGTAGAACTAAGTAAGTCCTATTTGAGGAATAAAACATAGTTAGTCCTATTTTCAAACTTTGTGTATGTTTTAATCCTAGTGAGGAAATTTTCTAAATAGTCCTAAAAAGTTGTATACAGCTTTTGTTGTGGTTATACAACAACCGTAATAAAAAGTTTTTCTTTTCTTAAAAAAGAAAAGTAATCCACATTGCTCTCTTTTAACACGTCTGCTACTAGATTTGAACTTCTGACCTCAAACGCACCCCAAAGAGTGTACAAACTGTATATCCACATCCAAATCGTTGAGCCATTGAAGATTCTTAATGTATATATGTTACATATGATATCTATACTCAAAAAAGGGTTTATCTAATGAGTAAAGTAGTTTGAATTGATAGTTTCTACAGTATAATTTTTATAGTCAATAGTATGTGTAATATTGCAATGTATTACTTATTTAATTATATTAGATATTTAGATATAGTATTTATATTTAAAAAAACACATGCACAATACTTTCAAGGATTATTATAACTATGCGTTTGAATATTCAATGGGTATAATTTTTTTCACAACTTGATACTTAAAAAGTAAATTATAAAGCACAAAAACGTAAAACAAATATAGAAACATGATTAGCTCAAACCATAAATTTTGAAAAATGTCTGGTTTTGAAGAAACAGCTACCCAATTAGTTACCTATCTAGTTCAAAACAAAGTGTACTTCAAATTATTGAAAAAATCCTCTCAATTGTTGCGGTTATAGCCGGAACTGCAGCAAATGGAGTAATTTGTTGCAGTTCCGTCTATAACCGCAGCAAAAAAATATAATTTTTAGGATATCGTAAAATACACTTTGTTTTGCGCTCGGGTATTCGATTGATGTATTTATTTTTAAATCATATATTTTTTTAGATCTATGCAATGGTGTATATTATTTGAAAAATTTAAACTTTTTGTTCCGTTTTAGTTATAACTGCAACAAAAGTATATTTATTTTACTAAAAACTATTAAAAAAATATTCGATGTGGTTCTGACTTCAACAAAAAAATCAAATCGAACACCTATTTGTTGCGATTCTTGCATAAGTGTACCAAAAGGTCCTAAATACGTACTTATTGTTTGTGGTTAATTACTTCTTGATGACCGCAACAACTCCAACAAGCCAACAAATACTTTAAAATATTCATTAATTATTGTGTTTTTTCAGAACCGTAGTAAATAGAGAGCAACAAGTATGAATAATTCTACATAATCATCATCATTGTATTGTACAAATACAAATCATTATGTGATTCAAATTCAAAAACTCCTTAATGCGCTTATAAATTATAGTTATTATACGGAGTAATGATTTAATTTTAGGTGACAACTCTGGTACCCATTTAAAAAATGGGGGTACCGTACATACCACTCACTTGATTGGTTCAAATCATTACATCATTTTTAATTTAGAATTAAATAATTCAACTACATCATTCTGATTGATCCATGTAGACAAAGGTATGGTACCTTAAGGGTACCATAGAATCTACCTTAATTTTATACTCCGTAATACATAAGCATGGTCGTCTTTAGGAGGTGCAATAGATGTTTAGCACCGGGGTCCACTATTTTAGGGGGCCTCCATGAATTTAGTATGTAGTACTACGTATTAGTTGTTGATTTTCTAGATGTTATGCATTATTCAAGATTCCAAAAGGTATATGACTTTGAGATTGTCTAATTTGTGTACTTTAAACATCATATAACATACGTAGTATATTATATTGAACTATCTAGTCTATTTGTATTTCATAGTTAAATTTTGTATTTTTTCTTGTTTTAGGGGGGGGGGGGGGGGGGGGGCTCAATTTACTATTTGGAACCGTGGCCTCCAAATTGATTAGACGGCCCTGTACATAAGGCATGGTTCAAATGATCCAGGCCCGACCCCAAGAAACTAGAGGCCATGTTCAAAATAACATAAGAGACTCTAAATACATATAAAACATAATATTAATAATAAAATAAAAAGTAATTCGAAATTCTATAATATTAATAGTAAAATGCAATACATGAAGTAATATATAATAAAACTTCAAAAGTATCAAAATCAGCAAATCAGATCCAATACTTTGAGCCTAAGAGACAATATAAGCAAAAGAGTAAAATAATATGTAGTATAAATATAACAATTAACAAATAATAAAATAATCAAATATAGAAAAAAAAGTAGGGAATAAACACCTTTAAGGATCTAAACTATAGAAGGTTCTTTTATCCAAGCAATAACAACAAAGAAAAATGCTAATTATAAGTATTTAATTATTGTAGTGTCTATATTAGTATGTCTAGTAGTGTATATAATCATGATCACTGTATGGTATAAATACAAATCATTATGTCGTGATCCATCATGGAATTACTAAAAGTCCCATGATATATTTCAAATAAACTTCCATACTAACTATTGAATAATAAGTAATTGACAATAATGTAGTAACTCAAGTCTATAAAAAATATGAGTCTTTGATTTCGAGGAAATATGTCATGTGTTACAAAAGGTTAATATATACTAGGAACAAAGTTACAAAAAAACTTTAAAATGTAGCCATGATAATTGTTGGTACATTAATCTCTTTCAAGAGGGTAGTACGTTGTTATGACCATTGCCAAGAACCATAATGTGAAAATTTAAAGCAAATTGGTTAATGGATACACACGATATAGATTTGTTTATTTTTCAAAATTATAGAAGAAACTAAGGCCGGGTACAATATTGTTTCTTCAATACGAACTATTTCAGAACTATATCAAACTGAACTGGTCCGAACCCTCCCGAATATACTAGATTAGCTCACATTCACTTAACACAATTAATAACTATATCAAATCTTATGAACTATTATTACTCACTTCATTATGATGAATATTCTTAGTTCAAACTTGTCCCAATTTGTTATTGACAGTTGTAATCTTATGCTCGTTAATGATTAATTATGATGAACATTCTAACTTTTTCACCATTAATGTTTCACTAGAAAAATATTACTTTTAGGATTGAACGTCTTAGACTCTTAGTATTGATTTATAGTTTCTACGTTATTTTAATATGTACCAAAAGTTGGTACAAAAACGTGATGTGTGCTACATATATTTGGGACGGTGTCACGTATATTTGAAACGATATACTCCGTATTTGCTACCTTAATTTTTAAAAGAATCTTATTTGAAATGGGACATTAGAGAGTTATGATGTAGTGCCCCATGCTCTCTCTCCTCAGCCAAACCTAGACCCAACTCTTCCTCTCAATAAACCTGGGTGCCCTTTTAAGCACAACCAATCAAAGCCTTGAACATTGTTCAAGCCAACATTGTGTAAGCACACCCCAACCATTTAGCTCTGATACCATGTTTAAATTCAAAGTTCATCTTATAATGTCAATCAATCTTAACAGGGTGAGGAGTCTGATATCTTTATATTTTAATTAATTGGTTCATATTTTACTGTTGAACATGAATAATAGCACATCTTCTCTCTACAAAATGGAGCAAAATGTGTCAACTTGACATTGAAAATGAAAAACTGGGCGGTTGAAAAATAAGTTAAAAGATCTTCTATGCGAGTAGATTGCAAGCAGCAGCTATCGCCTATCGGTCACCTTCATCAACTCTTTGAGTGTCATGAAAATGAATCAAAAAGTGTTCTGTAGCCATATGGGTGCTTTTCAATACAACCACATCAATATTTACTAAATAGAGCCAATACATAAAACTACCACTACTCTACAGAAGAGAAAGTTTCAGAGCAAAACTCCACTCTTTGGGAGGTAACAAAGTTTTACAGGAAATAATCTGGCGTTCTTCGTGTTACATCTGGTTCCCCTCTCCTTGGAGCTGGTTCAAACTGCAATAATAAAAAGGTACAGTTCCAGAGCAAAAAAATCATCTTACACCAAAATCTCATAAACAAAGCCAACCGGTAGCTGAAGTGAGCATGAAGAAACTGAGAACAGCAGAAAAAGGTAAAAACTAAGGCAAACCAGACCTGAATGAATGTATGCCCTTTGCAATCATCAACTTCAAGAATGGATGCCATATTACCACACCGGTAACAATAATTAGGTGCACTGAATATGGTTACAACCTTTTGGTCCTGCACCATCCATATAAAGCATGTACAAACATTACCGGTGTTGTTTTCCCTTAATTCAAGCAACAGTAATAAGCAAAAGGATAGGAAAGATATTTACATGAGCCCAATTGAATCCCTCCATAACCAGCTGGTGTGCTCGTGCAATAAGCTTCAAGTTGTTAGTATGGTTAAATTGCCCTGATATATCCTGTCAAATAGCAAGCTAGTGATTTCAATTTGACTATCAAATTAAACATCATATACAACTAAATAGGAAAAATGAGAACAAAATAAAAAGAGGAAGAGTGAGCGTTAGTAAAAATTACTTGGCCAAATGTATATCCAGCCCCCCTTGGAGAAATTCCCCAACCACATCGATCATCGGGATCAGACCATAAAAGATCGCACATTGCCCCTTCATGTGGAACTTCTTGAACACGGTCAAAATTACGGATGCTATCAAGGGTTTCAATAGAAGGAGACAAGCCACCATGGAGACAAAATATTTCTGACTCAACCTACAATAGCAATTTACAGAAGATGGAAAGAAGGAAAAACAACACAGAACTCAGCTTAGACAAAATAAATAAGAGCAAGATGGCCCAGAAAATTTTAGAGAAATGTGAACAGGAACAGCTAGACTCTTTCTAGTACTACCTATGTCCCATTTTATGTGTCTTGTTTTAGTTTGACACAATTATTAATAACGTGGTTGAAAAAGTAAAAGTTGTGGATGAAAAAGCAAAAGTTGTGGTTGAGATTTAAGCATGATAAAGTGAAATTTCGTAGACCACATATTTCTTTCCAAAAAGGAAATGTGACACTTATTTTGGGACAACCCAAAAAGGAAAGTAAGACAGGTAAAATGTGACGGAGAGAGTATTATTCCGCATGAAACCATAAAGCTAGTAAGCCAACATGCCAATGCAATGTATTTTGCCAAAAAGAATGCCGATATTCTTATATTGTTTGTCTCCCACTTTCTCTATTTATTGTTTTTAACTCTGATATCATATGTCGATCCATGATAGCCGACCCCAAACTCTTCTAGGAGTAATGCTTTGAAAAAGTTGTATAGATGCAGTAATCAATTTTAGGATTTATTTATGATTCAGTTCAAACATTGAAATGAAAAGTAAAATGAAATCCAATAACATTTATAAATACATGTGAGTATGTGACCTATGTGTGACTAGCGTGTCAATTCAAGCCTTTAAGATTTTTGAAAAGGTAAACATAGATCAAATATAAAAGATGATCTGCAATTAGAAAGAAATATGGATACTCAAGAACATTCCATTTCATTCAATAACATGACATTGTTACAGTGCAGACACGTGGCATCCAGTTTATTACTACTTCCATCCCAACCCACGATTCTCACTTTCCTTTTGTGGACATCTCAGTTATAGGTTCCCATTTCTATTTTAGGAAACAATTAAAACTCTTAAATGACAATTTAATCATCAAATATTAAAATAATACTACCTCCGTCCCATTAGAAGGTTCCCGTCCACTATTCTCATGGTCAACTTAAATCATTTTAAATCCTTTACTTTATAAATCAAATTTTTATCAAATTTACATTTTTTTATCAGGTTTGTAGCAGTTTTAATGTAGTTTCTGAATATGTTAGTTTTATTTACTAAAAATAATCAGAGTGTGAGCAGGGATTAAGTTGCTTTGTCGTCAGTCAAGCATCGTAAACCGTTCACGGGAACCTTCTAGCGGGACGGAGGGAGTACATTTATAACATCATAGATATCATCAATGATCTCATAATATTAAATACCCATCAAAACTATTTCTCAAAATATACTCGAATTACCTTATTTAATTATTGTCTAAATAACCGTGTCAATTTGTAATGGACTAATGGGAACCCTTAACTAAGACGGAGATAGCAGTATATAAAAATATACAGATCAAAAGCATTCGACCCAGGAAAATTTTAGAAAATATCAAACTAACCAAAGCTGTGAGTGGGAAATAGTCGAACAAATCTGTGAAAGTCTTCCACACATTCGCGTTACCATATCTGTGAAATGTAATGGCAGTCAGTCAACAACAAAACAAGAAAGGTAAGAGATAAGAGAGATTAATATAAAATACTAAATGTACTAAGGAACAAACATGGATCATGTTATTTCCGTTGTACCAAAAAAAACATGGATCATGTGTCTTAGTAATACAGCTTGTACCCTACATGAAGCATTTACTATTGTAGTATTGTACAAGGTTACAAACGGCATACGAAACTATCACGTACTCCCTCCGACCCATTTTACTTGTCTTACTTTCCTTTTTGGGTTGTCCCAAAATAAGTGTCACTCAAATACCAACCACAACTTTTACTTTTTCAACCACTTTATTAATAATGGGGGGCAAACCATTATTAGACCAAAACAAGACACATAAAATGGGACGGGGGTAGTATGTTTCTGTACCTACTTCATTGAAAATTGAGCACTACATTTATAGACCCAGCTCTTCTATATTGTATTTATTCAACCTTTAATGTAAAACTTAATATAATAATACGAATGTACAAATGTCTAATGAATACTAAATTATAGCATGACACACATGTTCAAGCACCCACTTCATTGGAAAGTGTGCACTATATTTGGAGCCCTAACTTTTCTAGTGCATACAACTATATATTATTCATATAAAGCCTCATTTATTAGTGTAGGTTTGAAGAATTAATCTTTCATGTATTATTGAGCCATCCGGCAATGATATAAATACAAAATTACAGATAAGCTAAGGTTTGTTACAGATCCTAATATTTAGGATCTATCTATTCTTATCTACACTGCGTGTTAATCTAAGAGTTAGAATCCTAAATCAACTCTACTTCCTATCTATACAGTTCCGGATGTACACATAATAAAATAACATGAATATGGTACATTTTTCTACACTCCCCCTCAAGTTGGTAAGTATATATCATACATTCCCAACTTGCTTATAAGAAACTCAAACACTGGTTTAAACAGCCCCTTTGTAAAGATATCAGTTGTCTGCTCTTTAGTAGATATGAATGGTGCGCATACAATTCCAGCTTTAAACTTCTCTTTGATAAAATGTCTGTCCACCTCAATGTGTTTAGTACGATCATGTAGCACAGGATTGTGAGCAATATTAATGGCTGCTTTATTGTCACAATATAATTTCATAGGTAGGTTCATTTCCATATTCAACTCTGTCATCATTCTCTTGATCCAAAGTAGCTCACAGATTCCATTAGCCATAGATCTAAATTCAGATTCTGCACTACTTCTGGCAACAACATTCTGCTTCTTACTCCTCCAAGTCACCAGATTCCCCCATACATAAGTACAATATCCAGATGTAGACCTTCTATCAGTTATTGACCCAGCATAATCTGCATCTGTAAAGGCTTCTACACTTCTATTGTCACTTCTTTTAAAAAATAATCCTTTCCCTGGACAACTTTTCAAATATCTTAGGATCTTGTAGGTAGCATCTAGATGTTCTTGGAATGGATTATGCATGAACTGACTAACCATACTGACTGCAAAGGCAATATCTGGCCTTGTATGTGCCAGATAAATCAACCTTCCCACCAATCTTTGATATTGGTGAATATTAACTGGTACTCCTTCCTTGACATTTCCTAACTTCTGATTAGGGTCAATTGGAGTATCTATTGGTCTGCATGCACTCATACCTGTTTCATGAAGTAGGTCTAGTACATACTTCCTTTGGGATACCACAATTCCCTTCTTTGATCTGGCTATCTCCATGCCAAGAAAATACTTCAATTCTCCCAGGTCTTTGATTTCAAATTCCTGAGTAAGCTTCTTCTTCAGGTCTTCAATCTCTTCACAATAGTTTCCTGTAAGAATTATATCATCCACATAAACAATTAGTACTGCAATTTCTCCCTTAATGGAGAATTTCATGAATAGTGTATGATCTGTTTGGGCTTGTTTGAATCCCTGCTTCTTTATGAACTGAGTAAACCTTTCAAACCAAGCCCTTGGGGACTGTTTAAGCCCATATAAGGCTTTCTCTAGCTTGCACACCTTTGAGCCATATTGTTCCACAAACCCAGGAGGAGGGCTCATGTATACTTCCTCTTCAAGCTTCCCATTTAGGAAAGCATTCTTCACATCTAACTGTTGAAGAGGCCAGTCTAGGTTAGAAGCTAGAGATAGTAGAATCCTTATAGTATTTAATTTTGCAACTGGTGCAAAAGTTTCTGTATAATCTATGCCATAGGTTTGTGTGTATCCTTTGGCAACCAGTCTGGCCTTATATCTTTCAAGTGTACCATCTGCCTTGAATTTAGGAGTAAACACCCATTTGCATCCAACCCTTGGTTTATTTTTGGGTACCTCTACAGTCTGCCATGTCTGATTCTTTTCAAGGGCATTCATTTCTTCTAAAACAGCCTTCTTCCACTCAGGTATAGATAGGGCTTCCTGTATGGTTAAGGGAATAGAGACACTGGAAAGGCTAGAGGTAAAAGCTGCAAATGATGTAGATAACTGAGAATAGGACAGATAGTTTGAGATAGGGTATTTAACACATGACCTTTTTTCTTTTCTAAGAGCAATGGGTAGATTTAGATCACTGAAATTATTACCTTTGTCATTTTCTGGCATTGAGTCAGATTCATTGACAGTGGCAGGATCAGTGATGTCCTCTATTCTGTGATTTGGAACTTTCCTTTCATAAACCTTGCCAAAAAACTTACTTATTTGCTGTTCATCATCTTTCCTTGTTTCAGAAAAAAAGTTTTTCATTTTCTTTTGACTCTTGACTATTTTCTAGTGCATCTAACTGTCTATTATACTGTGCATCTAGATTAATGTCAAGAGGTTCTAGTTTTTCAAGGATATGTGACACATTATTACCATCTTCATTAGGAATCTCCCCCTGAAGATGAGTACCAAAAAAAGGTTGATCTTCTACAAAAACAGTGTTCATAGTTATAAACATCTTTTTTGTTATAGGGTCAAAACATTTATAGCCTTTCTGAGTTGAAGAGAGTCCTAAGAAAACACATTTTTTCCCTTAGGGTCAAATTTACTTGCAGTTCTGTCAGGATTGGTAATAAAGACTGTGCACCCAAAAAATTTTATGGGAAGAGAGTTAATTAGTCTAGTTTCAGGAAAACAAGTTTGAAGAGTATCAATAGGAGTTTTGAATCCTAGAGTTTTTGATGGCATCCTATTAATTAGATAGGTAGCATGTAAAACAGCTTCTCCCCATAAATATTTTGGAATTTTTGCAGAAAACATTATTGCACGAGTAACTTCAAGTAAATGTCTATTTTTCCTCTCAGCTATTCCATTCTGAGCAGGAGTATTTACACAGGAACTTTGATGAACAATCCCTTTTTCAGCAAAAAAAAGTATTTAACTTCTTAGAAAAATACTCAAGTCCATTATCACTTCTCACAATTTTGATATTAGTGTTGAATTGAGTTTGGATCATTGAGTAAAATTGTTTGAACACCTCTTCAATCTCAGATTTTTCTTTAAGTAAAAACACCCATGTGACCCTTGTGTGATCATCTATGATAGTTACAAACCACCTTTTTCCTTTCAGAGTTGAAACTCTAGATGCACCCCAGATATCACTGTGTACAATAGTGAAAGGACTAGTTGGTTTGTAACTATGAGGGATGTAAGAACTCCTATGATGTTTGGCAAGTGCACACATATCACAATGAAATGATGAAGGATTTTTATTAAGAAATAACTTAGGAAACAACATTTTCAAGTAGGAAAAACTTGGGTGACCTAATCTATAGTGCATTAGGTACACTTCATTATTACAAGGAAAAACAGTTTGCAAACAAGTTTTTTCTTGACCTTGTTTATTCAATTGTGTTCCTTCATCAAAAGTATAGAGGCCATCTTCCTCTCTAGCACTGCCAATCATCTTCCCTGATGCCAGATCCTGAAAAATGCAATAAGAGGGAAAAAATTTTACACAACACTGAAGATCTTTAGTAATTTTGCTAATAGAGATAAGATTGCAGGAAAGTTTAGGAACATGTAAGACTTTGGAAAGGTTAATGGATGAGGAAATTTTAATATTTCCCATCCCTGCTATGGCTGAGAAAGAGCCATCTGCAACTCTAACTTTTTTATCTCCTGCACAAGGTTGATAAGAAGAAAAAAACTTTGGAATATAGGTCATGTGGTCTGTTGCACCTGAGTCAATGACCCAGGTGTTTTTAGTTTTTTCAGAACAAAAATATGATGTTATTTTACCATTCTGGGCAAAAGAACAGGTAGGGTTTTCAGGATTGGAGATTTTCTGGGTAGGTATGAATCTGAGTAGGTACTCTATCTGTTCCTGAGTGAATGGTAGTTGTTTAGGTTCAACTCCTGCCTCTTGTTGAGTCTCAGTCACAGTAGTTTGTAGGGCCCTTTCTACTTTCTTCTTCCCAGCTCCTGGTGGTTTTCCATGGAGTTTCCAGCATGTATCCCTTGTGTGCCACAGTTTCTTGCAGTGATCACACCAAGGTTTTTTCTTGTTGTCATCACTCCTGGCCACCAAAGCTGAAGATTCCCCAGGTTCCTCATTAGGTGCTGGGGTGTTGTACATGACCTTCTTCCTGCTATCCTCCATCCTGATTTCAGAAAATACCTCCCTGATAGAAGGTAGAGGTTTTTTTCCAAGTATCCTCCCCTTAACTTCATCTAGGTCCCTATTGATCCCTGCTAGAAACATATAGACCCTATCATTCTCTTCTTTTTTCTTATGTCTGGCCAGATCCTTAGCACTCTCCCACTCTTCATCATCATAGCATTGATCTAATTCTTGCCACAGAGATACCATTTCATTGTAGTATGAAATAATATCCCTATTTCCTTGTTTAGATTGCCACAATTTGGTTTTGAGTTCAAAAATTTGAGAAGAGTTCTCAAGGTCTGAATAAGTTTCCTTAATAGAATCCCATACCTCCTTTGCAGTTTTCATAAACATATGAGGTTTGGCAATTAGGGGCTCCATGGAGTTGAGAAGCCAAGCTGTTATGAGTGAATTCTCTGACCTCCATGTACTGTACCCTTCTTCTGCAGGTATTTTTGGTTGGATTTCTCCTGTGATGTAACCCAGCTTTCCCCTCCCATCAATTGCAAGTCTGACAGATTGAGACCACTCCAGATAGTTTGTTCCATTCAATCTATGACTAGTGATTATCATAGATGAATGAATAGGAGACTGGTAATTTGTCATAGAGCTAATTTGGGAGTTAGGGTTGGTAGTGTGTGAGGAATCAGCTTCACTGGTTTCTACCATTGTTTAAACCGAAGCTCTGATACCATGTAGGTTTGAAGAATTAATCTTTCATGTATTATTGAGCCATCCGGCAATGATATAAATACAAAATTACAGATAAGCTAAGGTTTGTTACAGATCCTAATATTTAGGATCTATCTATTCTTATCTACACTGCGTGTTAATCTAAGAGTTAGAGTCCTAAATCAACTCTACTTCCTATCTATACAGTTCCGGATGTACACATAATAAAATAACATGAATATGCTACATTTTTCTACAATTAGTAAATGTCTGCCCACTGGCCAGCATTTTATCACCTCAATTAAAGATTTAAGCTGCAACGGGCCCTCTTTTTAGTTAAAATATACTCCATAATTAATAAACCATATTGAACAAGACAAACAAGTATAATATTTAAACCAATGATTTGACAAAGACAAACAAATTACAACAACAATTCGTTGAAGGCATGACAAAATCCTCCATAAAGACATTGCTATAACTTCAAAGAATAAGGTTACAGTGAATATATTTTCGAGTTTTCCAACAATAGGATACTCACTTCCTTAAGCACTCATCATAAAATCCATAGACTTGAGTAATCTGCAAGAAAGACAACATGAGTTCTAACCTAAACGACGGAAACTATTAGTGCTCACATTTTTTCATTTCACAAACTTGGATATGTATTAGAAACTCAAAACATCAAAATCTTGCTCCCATGTTGTCTCCGTAATTTAAAGAAACTAGCAAACCCATTTCCCTGATTAAAAAGAATTTCAGACATGCTGGTTCTTACTTCTTTTTTGGGTAATTTGGTGGGAGTTCTTGATGGAAAATAGTGTTCTGTACTTTTGTGTGGATTTATAGATGGCTTTTATGAGATCTCTTTATAGCAATGTAGTCTATGCAACTTTTCATAGTGCAATGCATTGCTAGAAATCTATTGACTTTTACATTTCGTTGTGTACTGATACAACAACAACGTCCAAGCTTTAATCCCAAAAGAGTTTGAGGACGGCTAACATGAATCGACACATGAAATCGGAGCAAAAAATAAGAAAGATAAGAAAGATAAAAGGATAAGGAAAGATGAAAAGGTAAAAAAAGAAGATAAAGATAAACTTAAGATAAAAATAACAAGGATAAGATAAAAATGATAAACAATATAAGATAAAAAGGATAAAAGGATAAAGAACATAAGAAAGATTCAGAAGATAAAAAGATAAAAATGATGAAAAGAGATCAATCCTCCACACGATCCTTATGTGTATTGATATGTGAATAATTTATATATTTGACCACATAGAATATTTTTATGTTATGCTTATGTACCACAGTTTATATGAAACTATACATACTGATATAATATATTAAAATATAAGAACAAGTTTACACACACACACACACACACACACACACACACACACACATATATATATATATATATATATATATTTACATATACTTATATTTTTTATATTCACAAGTTCTTCCACATTTTGTATCCTAGATTTTCTAAAATATTGTTTCCCACGTTTTGCATTTCCAGCTTCACGTTTCTTGATTCTCGTTTTGCATTTACATGCTACTAGGTTCTAACCGTTTACGTGTGGAAAAAACTAACAGTATTTCAGTATAAATAAGCTACTCCAGGTCATTAGAATCCTGTTAAAGAAACAATTCAAACCATAAATAGAATTAGAAAATTATACCATTACAATAACATTAGAGAAAGAAGAATAACTTGTATACATTGAACGATAGACTGGGAGAGGCATACCTGACGGCTTTCATGATTTCCCCTCAAGATTGTAATCCTTTCAGGATAGCGCACTTTGAGGGCCACCAAAAGCTGTAAATCACCAAAAGCCAAATAGAAATACACCACAAATTCACAGAAAAGGCTTTGCACATTAGATCATAATACATAATGATGTACACTATGAGAAAATATACTAGGAGACATAAACTAACAAGAAAATATCTCCATTTTTAGATATTTGATGAACTGTATAGTAAAAATGGAACTTCTCCTAATTTCCAATTTTTTGAAAGGGAAAAATAATTAAAATACCCTAAAATTTGAAGGGGTGTGAAGTAAGCACCCCAAACTTGCATATATAATTTAAATACCCCAAACTTTATATAAAAAGTTATTTTAGCACCATGGTCATGTATTATTTCTTTCAAAAATGTTAATTTTTGGTGTTAATTTCATAATTTAAAATACTTTAGCATTCATGAAGATAAAAGTAACATTCTAAACTTCATTGTAAAATAAAAAATACTACCCCACACTATAATTGCAGCATTTTTATTTTGCTATTTCAAATTATGCAATTAACACCTTAAATTTACATTTTTGAAAAAAATAATATATGACCATGGTGCTAAAATAACTTTTTATATAAATTTTGGGGTATTTAAATTACATATGAAAGTTTGGGGTGTTTATCTCACACCCCTTCAAAGTTTGGGGTATTTTAATTATTTTTCCCTTTTTGAAATTAGAATGTGCTCCAGTTTCTCCAATTTTGAAGAACAATAAAATAGGCCTGCGAGTTGATTCCTCCAGAAACACTGCTTCCACTTTTTCTCAACCCAATCACATTCCATGGAAGAAGCTCTTTTTAGGTTTACTGTTTATGGATGACGCCTCCAGAACTTCATGAAGTCCTCCAGGGAATAAGCTTGAAAAGAGCATGTTTTTAAGAAGGTGAAGTGGCATGAAGTGGTAATTTTGTGCTAATGTACATGTTTCCCTTTTCCAGAAACGGAAAATTATTTTCTTCAATAGCAATTGATAAACATGTTACAGTTTTGAAAAATAAGAACAAAGCAGAGAATGGAAGCAAACATGGCCCTACTGTTACAGTTTCAACAGAATAGTATCCACGGTCCACATAATCTCCCATGAATAAATAATTGGTATCTGGACACTGCCCAAAAAAATTAACAAAAATGAAAAGCATGATCAGAAGTAGACAAATGAAGTCAATATTGCGAACTACATGATGCATCAAACCAACACATTCAATACACAAGTAAGCCACTCAATTGCAAAACCATCAGTGAGAATGTAAAAACTCAATTGCAATACATAACTTGTCAGAGACATTTTATTAAGATTCAAAAGTATAAAAAAAATAGATATGTGGTGCACTTCTTCCATGCCCTTTCACCTAGACTAAATGGCAATGCCTGAAACAACAATTTTAAACCATTTGAATAGCCCAAATTTACTGTTAGCATAAAGACTGCTAATGGTGTAAGAAGCAATTATCAAAACAGGTTTAGTCATATATGTCAGTGCAAGGCCATGCATTGTGTATGTTGATAGTTATTTAAGCCATAAAATAGAGCTTAAATTCAAATAGAAGAACAATAAACCATGTCCCAACCATCAATTTGATCAAGTCATAAAATATATATATAGAATTAGTGAATTCAAATTCGGGGAATTTTTACATGGCACATTAGTGTTTTCATTTAAAAGAGCATCAAATATTACTAGATGTCAAGTGTGTGGCTCTCTAACAGAAGCGAAATGCATTGACAACAACTGGAAAAGGAAAGCAAGCACCTTCCCACCAATTCGGAAAAGCTCAGCAAGATCATGGAACTGCCCATGAATATCACCACATATGGTCACAGGGCTTTTCACCGGCTGCAGCAAGGAAGACATTGAAGATCTATAAATTATAACACTATGACTTACAAACATTTCTGTAAGAGACTAAGTCCGTCTCATGCAGTTCATACAAGCAGAATCTGTCAGACGGAGACACGGAGTCACCCCATGCTCTCATGACCAAAGACTACAAATGTCTTAGCAAAAAGAAACTTCTGATGAACTATATGAGAACTGCAAGAAATTTAATGTGAATATTAAGGTAAAAAGGCTAAAATATGTTTTGGGCGTGTTTTGCTTTAGCATCGTGAGATGTAGACCTCGAGTCTGATTGAAGTGTTAGCATCCATACATCATAGGCAAAATAAAAGCTACTTAAAAAAACACATAATTCATTTAAGCATGTAGATATCAGTTATCACAAATATAAAAATATTAAATAAATATGACTTAGTATTTAGTAAGTCATCAATAGTACTCCAATTGCATGACACCGTTCCACATTTATAAATGTAATCAAATATTTCAGTCAACTTATGCACAGAAGCAGAGAAGAACAAGAAATAAAGTAGAGAAGAAGAAAATTGTTGTGATTGCTCTAAATAAACTAGAATCGAGTAGAAAAGACAGCAGTCAAGTATAAACGTACATATGAACACAAACAAGCAGAGAACAAAAGGAGGTATTCGGGTAGAGAACAAACCCTTAATGTTCCGGGGTTAAAGTTGGGTTAAGCTTTTTTAAAAAGCAATCATCCCAAATCTTTTGATGAAAAAATATGTCTCATTAAGATAAACAACTTTAAATACAACCAACTTTTGCATGCAAAATGGTTAGTAAGTGCATGATATTAGAAACATGTAAGCCTCATGCACCTCATGAGTTGTATACTTGTATGCCTCAAGCTTATGTGTCACCTGGGTGAAGCATAAGCTTCTTTGCGAAGGAGAGTAGAAATGGAAAAGCGAGTCAAATTAATATGATCAATCCTATTGAGAACACCTTGAGTATCAACTACAACTTAAGTGCTCTATTAGTAAAGCATAAAGACAACTTATAATTCAATATATTCAGTGGTATGAACTTAACGTAGTGAAAGAAATGGTTACACTCACGAAAAAAGTACAGAAGATGATACATGACCAAATACTCTGTAATAGATTTAATATAGAGCTTAGGACTAGCATACCTGTACATTGCTTTCATCCATCAGAATTTCTTTTGCTTTTTCACATAGTGCTCGCACCTTCAGAAAACAACACAATGACAATACGTTATTTATTACAAAAATGTACTTCAAATGAATGTAGCAAATTGGAAACCAAGTATAACAATTTAAACATTCTCTTTCTGGCATGACATGTAAAAAAAGGTAATGTGAAATGATAATAAAACTACTGCTTTTATTGATATGAATGTCAAATTACGAATTCATAACTCCTAAACACTACTAAAATGCTTATATGGAGAAATAATTAGTTTTAATGCGTAAGCCCAGTAATCCCAGTATGAAAAGGGAACATAAAGCCTAAACCTAATGATAATAGGAAATCGTAACACTTCAAAAGGACTCTTTACACTTTTACACTTCTATCCTTTGCTATTTGATATTATTCTAAATTCAAGAGACCCCTGAAGATGGAGCATATGAAAATATACTTTAAACTAGAACATACTAGGAGCATGAAACTTAATAGTAAAGTAGTGAACACCAAAAACTGGAACTTATAGTAGGAAATTAGACTGAACTTGAACTCTTCTGGAACTGATCTTCACTTTAACTTTAACTTTACTTGAACTTCAATTCACTTTATTTTTACATTGACTTAACTTGCCGTAGATTGAGCAATCGGGTACATTTTTGACTCCATATAAAATAACTAGTGTACTCAAAGGTATTGAAGGAAAGAAATAATTCAGTTTCAGGATTCTTTAAAACACAATATTGTAGTCAGCAGTTACATATCTTTGGCATTTACTATAGTATTATTATTTACCTTATATACATGATTAAGAGATGTATAAATAGCAGCCTTGTAAATCAGTTTTAGACACACAGAAATATATTCAAAACACTTGTTCTCTTCTCTCTATTATGGTATCAGAGCCACACGAGCTCTAACCAGCCATTTCCCTCTCCCTATGGAGGCAGACGACCCCCCTCAGCAAGGGGATCTCAGAAATACCCCAAATGGGCAGCCTACCATTTCTTCTACAAATTCCTCTACTGCAGTCATCAACCCCCTCACTCCAGATGGGTTAATCATCCTCAACCCCAGCCACTTCCCAGAAAAACTTGAAGGAACGAATTACCTCATATGGCGTGACCAAGTGCTTGACCTCTTGGTTGGCTCTCATCTCGACCAATACATCAGTGATGATGCTGTTCCGCCACCTGCCAGTGAAGCTGCAGGCCATCTCCGGTGGAATCGTCAAGACCGTCTCCTCCGACATGCCCTTGTCTCCTCCCTGAGCTCGGCGTGCAAACCATTGGTTGGATCCGCACGTACCTCTGCTGCGGTGTGGAAGACCCTAGAGCAGCTTTACGGCACCCGTTCAGCAGCTCAAATCCGGAATATGAAGGATGTTTTCCGCCACACTCGACATGGATCTAAGGCAGTGGGTGAGTATCTTCATCATCTCCGTACCCTCGCCGATGAATTAGCTAAGGCTGGCCGCCCTGTTGACTCCGACCTGAGTTTGAATCCTTCACAAACTCCATTCGCACGTGTGGAGATAACAGTTTCGGCAACATCTACGCCTTGCTCACCGGGTTCGAAGCTACTCTGCGGCGAAAGGAGGCTCTGGATACGAGTGTTGGCGTGGTGACGGCGAATAACGTGGCGATGGGGGAGGCGAATACATTTACTACCCGCAGAACTCCAGGGCAGCCTGGCCCATCTCATTATCAGCCTTCTTTATTGGGCCCTGGCCCGTCTCATTATCAGCCCAGCCGCACAAACAACTCAGCCCGGGGTTCTACCGGGAGTCAGCCCAGAAACCAGCGGCTCAATTTTTCTCAAAATTCAAACCGACGTGGCCAGAATACTTTTCGGGGTACCACCAACAATATGACAACCCGCAACATCTCCGGGAATAGTGATCCCAATTTCGGAGCAAATATTATGTGCCAAATTTGTGGGAAACCAAACCACTCCGCTCTCAATTGTTGGCATCGGTTTGAACAACAGGCTTATCCTCCTCAGGTCAATACGGCTGTTACTAATCATAATGGATGGTTACTTGATTCTGGAGCAACCAATCATGTCACCAACAACCTGAATAATCTTACCTTGGCATCCGATTATACTGGCACTGATTCTCTCGTTATTTGTAACGGTAAAGGTCTTGCGATAGCACAAGTTGGGCATATGACCCTTCACTCTCTTTCTCTACCTAATACCCTTTTCGTCCCTTCTATTCATACCAATTTAATTTCTGTCGCCAAATTATGTCGTGATAATGATGTACTAATTGAATTTCATTCTTCTTTTTGTCTTGTTAAGGACCGGCGAACGGGAGCAATTTTGTTACGGGGTATGAATAAAGGAGACGTCTACAGCTTGCCAGATGTACCCCCTCCACCATCTCCGTCTGCTCACATCACACAAAAATATTCCCTTAATAATTGGCACTGTCGCTTAGGACATCCAGCCCTCCCTATTACTAAAAAAAAATTGTCGTCCTTAAGTATTTCCTTTTCCGATGTTACGTCGAATAACTCTTTGTGTGTCTCGTGTGCTAGTAATAAAAGCCATAAGCTGCCCTTTACAAAATCCCGCTCGTGTTAATTCTATTGATGGCTTTCGTTACTATGTTATCTTTGTTGATCATTATACCAAGTATATTTGGTTTTATCCTATAACTCATAAAAGTGAGGTCACTCCACTCTTTCAAAAGTTTAAAAAGATTGTTGAAAACTTTTTTCAACGCACAATTAAAACAGTTTATTCTGATGGGGGAGGCGAATACATAACCTTAGGGAAATTCTTAAGCACATGTGGGATTTCTCATTTATTTACACCTCCCTACACTCCAGAGCACAATGGCTTTGCTGAACGTCGGCATCGTCACATTGTGGAAACTGGTATCACCCTACTTCACCATGCATCTATGCCTCTTAAATATTGGTCTTATGCTTTTCTTACCGCAGTTTATCTCATTAATAAATATTAGAAAAGTAGCCAGAATATGAAATGAAGAAGAAGGATTTTCATTTAATCACATAATACCAGTACATCAGTATTTATAGAGAAGTAGTATAACCAACTTGTAACTGAATCTAAACAGCTTGACTAACTATAACTAGCTAACTGAATGCTAAGCTTATTACACAGTTCGTAGATATAGTATCTCTAACATTCCCCCCACAAAGTTAGGGTGATTGATGTGGAACATCAATCACACTAAGTTTGGTCTTGAGCTCAAGGAAGGATGAGGCAGTCAATGGTTTTGTAAGAACATCAGCAATTTGATAGAGGGTTGGAATGTGATATACTTCAAGCTGTTTAGACTGAACTTGTTCCCTGACAAAGAATAGGTCAATCTCCATGTGTTTGATGCGAGAATGAAGTACTGGATTATGTGCAAGTTGTACTGTGCTAAGGTTATCACAGTAAACTTTGGGAATAGTGAAAGGAACTTGAAGTTCCTTAAGCAGAGATTGGATCCATAAAAGTTCAGCAACTGTGTCAGCCAAGCTTCTATACTCAACTTCAGCTGAAGACCTTGCAACCCTTACTTGTTTCTTTGACCACCAGGAAATAATGTTTGGACCAAAGAAAATGCAGGATCCAGAAGTGGACCTTCTATCAACATGATCAGATGCCCAATCAGCATCACAAAAGGCTGAGATTGGCAAAGGAATAGTGGCAAGGGGCAAGGGTTTGATAATAATACCATGGGTTATGGTACCAGAGAGATATCTGAGAATGTGTTTGACAGCTTGCCAATGATCCTGTAGAGGTGTGGCCATGAATTGACAAACTTTATTGACTGCAAAGCTAATTTCTGGCCGTGTGAGAGTTGCATACTGTAAGGCCCCAACAATTGACCTGTAGGTAGAAGGGTCAGGTAGAGGGTTAATGTCTGTGTTGGTGAGTTTGCAGTTACTGACCATAGGAGTTTTGACTCCTTTGGATTCAAGCATCCCAGCTTTGTGTAGAAGATCTCTGATGTATTTGGTTTGAGATAAATGTAGACTCCCATTACTTTGTCTCCTGACTTCAATACCTAGAAAGAAGTCAATTTCCCCCAAGTGTTTTAAAGAAAAGGATGAATTGAGCTTATGAATGAGTTGTTGAATAGCAGTGTGATTATTCCCAATAACCAAGATATCATCTACATAGATCAGAATGTAGATTTGAACTCCAGACTGTAGAAAGGCAAGCAGAGAGGGATCACATTTGCTTTGCTTAAATCCAGCAGCATAGAGAACAGAGGTTAGCTTTTGAAACCAGGCTCTGGGGGCCTGTTTAAGTCCATATAGTGACTTATGCAGTTTGCAAACAAGAGAGTTATCCTTGACTTCAAAGCCTGGAGGTTGAACCATATAGACCTCTTCCTCTAGACTGCCATTTAAAAAGGCATTATTCACATCAAGCTGTTGAATTGACCATTTGTGAGATATAGCTAGAGTGAGCAAGATTCTGATTGTAATGGGTTTTACAACAGGGGAGAAGGTTTCTCCAAAATCAAATCCAAATCTTTGATGAAATCCTTTGGCTACTAGTCTGGCTTTGAACTTGTTTAGAGAGCCATCCGTATTTTCTTTGACCCTAAAGACCCATTTACATCCAACAGCTTGTTTGTTTGGTGGCAGAGGAACAAGAGACCATGTATTGTTTGCTATCAATGCATCATATTCAGCCTGCATAGCAGAAAACCATTGTGGAGAAGATAAAGCTTGCTTAACTGATTTAGGCTCAGTATGAGCTAACAGTAAGGTGGGATTCAATCTAGGTTTAACAATTCCTGACTTTGCCCTAGTTTGCATAGGATGAGTGTTAGTTGGGATAGGAGAAGAAGATGAAGTTGTAGGAGAAATATTTTGTGAAAACTGAGCTGAGTTATTTGGAGATTGGGGTGGAGACATATGGTTTTGGTCAGAGTTAGAATTCTGAGAGTTGGAAGAAGATGTATGGGACAGATTTTGACTTTGAGAAGAGGTAGATTGTGGTTCAGTGATTTGAGAAGAAGAGACATTAGAGAAAGATGAAGGATGAATCACAGTTAAAGGGGCAGAAA